AGTTGGACTATAATTTGAACCAAATATTGATTATTTAGTATGCCCAACTAATTGTGGAGAATTATATCTTCATTATTTAGTTGGTCAAATCAATTATGAGTGTTATATCATTAATTTGGCTAAAGAATATCTTAATCAGTGGGAGTGATCATTTAGGAAAGATCATTAAGATACTCCACTAAAGCTGGTGGATTTAGTTGTTTTTATACATTCCAAATTGGATTGTGCATCTAGCAATAAGTCCAAAAGTTTCCACAAGTATTAATTTAGTCTTTTGTTCTTATAATTCATAAGTTCATTTCATTGAACGTTTGGTTGTACAACATATTTATGAAAATGTTGTAACAATATTAATGAATTTATTAGAACGAAAACACTTAACTTGTGGTGCACTGCCAATTAATAAATTCTTTAGCAATTAACAGAGTCTTTAGTTTCTTCAAAATTGATCCTGGGTCATTTTTGGTTTGTAAGGCTCAAAACAATTTTGTAAGACATAATAAGACTCGTAATGTTCAATTAATTTCGATGTGAACTTGAGATTATTTGGGAAGTTGGTGTATGTTTAAGATTCCAAATTTATGGACTTAGATTTTTTGGTTTGTTGTCTAAGTTATTGGAATGTTTCTATGACTTGACTATCTTTTGGCTATCTTAATGAGTGGGAGTGACAGACGTGTCAACTCCAAGCTCTTAGCCGTTAGAGGTAGTATTTATGTTAACTTAAGTCATAGAATATAGTTAGCATTATGCTAACATTAAGAGATCTCTACTTAAGGCATGCTTCTAAGATTTGGAGATCATAAAATGAAGTTGGATGGTTTCTTCATTCAGTTGTGCACATAATATATTTTGAGAAACATCCATTAAGGGACTAAGAATAAACGTAGGGTTTGTTCATAAAGAACCTAAGTTAGGGAATTTAAATACATGTGATCATAGAAGATATTACTCGCTTGATTAGTAGAGGACGTATTACTATGTTTCATGTATTTTGTTCTTTAATGAGGATTGTGCCAACACTTGCACCAAGTGGGAGAATTAAGTGTTTTCCCTGTATACAATATATAATATATTGTATTATTGGGTGGTTGTGGTGCAAGTAGGAGATTGAGTCAATTAGTGACTTAATCTGTTAAGGCAACTCAGGATATTCAGTTTAGGATTAACTGAATATCTGCCTACATTGATGGCATGTAGGCTTCTAAGCATAATGAGTCCTCCCACAGCTCCCGTGTTCAGAATACACGCACCATCAGGTATTCCGGAGAGAAGTGGTAGACAAAACACTAACGTTTATCCTGCATGTTTCCATGACAACACTAACAACTATGGCTAGGGTGCAGGTTTCCATGACAACACTAACGACTATGGCTAGGGATATTCAGACGATCCTGAAGCTTCCGCTACTACGAGTCAGGTTACTCGTTACTTCAGTTTGTGTTAGTAAATATTATTGTCTAACATAAATGACTTTTTTTTTTTTTCAACGTGGAGGGGGGACGGAAGAGCAGCTTATTGCCCTCTCATGCTAACCTTCTATTAACTAGCATTTCCCATTTGGTCATTGTGTATGGCATTTAGGACACAAGTAGGGAGTTTCTCTTGGCTCGTTCGAACCGTCCTCAGACCAAAGTGTAACTTTAGCGAGGAAATCATCTACCATATTATGTTCTCGGTAATAATGTGTAAGTTTGATCTCACTCAATGCGCTCAACCACCTTTAGTGTTAACGATAGTTTTAATGATTTACCCCATGATGCTCTTCTTGTTGAGTAAGACATTGCCAGCTTCCCTTGAGTCACTACGACTTCAATCCTTCGGTACCCAATATTCTAAGCCCATCTAATCCCAAGCATTAAAGCCTAAAATTTTACTTCCAGGATGCTATTAGTAGTTATGTTAGTAGAGAACCCCGCTAAACACTTACCATCTTTGTCTCTAAGGTAACCCTACAACCAGCTCTATTATATTCTCTCTGCGGCAAACACACCGTAGACATTAAGAGCCACCTTGTCGTCCTTGGGAGGCTCACATTTAACCAAATTATCCGTAGTTGTATTGAGGTTGCCTCTGAGTTCATGCGTACATTTGAATCTTTGAAAGCATCAAGCACTTGCATTTTTATTCAATTTTCTTTTAGAATGTTATCAGGATTTGATTAGTCATCAAATTGCGATATTGATAAACTTGTTTCTATCTATACTCAAACACATCAGTTAGACAAACTTTCTACATTTTTAATTAAAATTTTCTACAATCGAAACCATGAACAATCTCAATCACTTTTTTCTAAATTCACACTAAAACATGAATTAATCAAATGATCACACAAAAAATAACCATAATCAGAAACGAACAAAAGTTAATGTCCAGTTGTTATATCATAGACCGCAGTGCATGTGCACCGCGGTAAAAAACGACGTCGTTTCTTTAAGTAAAAAAACGGTCCGCTGTTATAGTTAACAGAGTCCGCTTGTTTGGTGTATTAAACACCAACTGACAGTACAGTATATCTAAACCGACATTGCAATTATATCAAAATGATACTGTAGTTATAGTGAAATGAAACTGCAGTGTATATAAAATGAAACTGAATAACATTTCACATATTTGAGTGTATATTGTACAATGAAGTTGTAATTATATCAAAATGATCATGTAGTTGTGTTGAATTGAAACTACAGTGTATACAAAATGACACTGAATAAAAGGGTTACTTTTTGCGAAAGGGTGCGAAACGGCGGAACACAAATACCGTTTCTTTTCATTTAACAAAAGGACGCGTGGTGATATAATTTGCCGTTAATGTCCTTACCAATTGGGAAGAGACGATCGGTGGGGCCCAAATAATTTTAATTGTGAGCCAACCAATGTTTGTTGGCTAAAATTGAAGTTATCCAGTAATGGGTCCACGCTGATCCACGTAGGTCTATCCAATGGAATGGAGGAGCGGGCCCCACCAGACGCAAAGTATATTCTTTTCTTCTTCTTATCCACCAACGACCCAACGTCATAGCAACGTGGCACCAGCGGGGCACTGATTCATCCCTTGCACACAACTACATTACAAACAATACATTTTCTTTGGTTTTCTAAGTTTTTTTAGTGTCAAATTTTATTTGAATTTTTTAAATAATATTTGTTATGTTTTGTCTCATATTATACCGTTTTACATTTAAAGAATAACAAAAATATAATATATATTTTTTGAATTAACAAAAATATATAGATTTTTTTTTTTCACTTTTGTTCCATTGACATTTATACTTCTTGTGGTCCTTTATTAGTCTAGATTGTACATAACTGACTGGTTCAAATCAAGAAAGTTAATATTTAAACTTGTGATTTTGTGATTAAAAAATTGTATCTTTAATCATTTTGACTAAGATTACTCGCTATTTTAATACACGAATATTACATACTTATCACATTTGATCTTCTCAATCAATTTTTACGCCAATATTGTCTAATCTAATCTAATTTTTATAAATACCAATGCAATATCTTTATATTTAATTTTGTCATCTACATGTTACTTTAATTTAAATAACTTGAATGTTTGTCTATATATATATATATATATATATATATATATATATATATATATATATATATATATATATATATATATATATATATATAGAATCGCACTCACATGCGAATGCTTTGTCCAGGCGCGAAATAGGAATGGATTTTGTCCGTCCAGGCGTCCACGTATCTAAATTTAATGGATGAGAAACACTAATATTTTAAAAAAAGCGTGGGCATAAATAATTGAACATCAAAGTGCAAGTAAAATGTATTACAAGTTTATGTAAAATGTATTATAGGTACAAGTAAAAATTTAAACGGAACATCAATACTAAGTGCACCTATAGTTATAAGTAGTTGCACATATAATTCTAAGTAGTTGCACATATAATTATAAGTAGTTACACTTAGGTGCATGAATGTTTGCATGTGGTTTTTAGTGGTATTACTACCCGCTGAACTCAGATCAATGAATGTTAACAAGACAAAATTACATGCACTTATAGGTGAAAGTAGTTGCACCTATAGTTATAAATAGTTGCACCTATAGTTATAAGTAGGTGCACCCAGGTGCATGAATGTTTGCGGAAAGTGAATGTTAACAACGCAAAATTACATGCACTTATAGGTGAAAGTAGGTGCATTTGTAAGTGATTTTACTTGCACTTCGATGTTTAATTATTTACGAAAAAGTCACTGTATTTTTTTTTAATCTATTATATCTGGACACGTGTCACGCGCGGATTCGTTCGCATATTCTCTCATGGGCACTTATTCGCACTTGAGTGTATTCATATATATATATATATATATATATATATATATATATATATATATTAACTAGAGATCAACTATGCATTCATGAAGAAGTTGTAGTGTATGCACCTATGCATGTGTGGAGTAGTACCATGCATTCGTGTAGAAATTGCGGTGCATTCCTTTAATCCATACATTTTCACGTAAGAGCGGCCGGTCCGCACCTAAACCAAACTAGTATTCCTTATGCGCGATGCGCAAAAAATAAGTGCTCAATATTAATATTTTATATTAAAATTTTAAATTTATTTAGATTTTAGATATTTAACTTATTGTAAATAATAATAATAATAATGTAAAATATTTCTATAAATTTAATATTTATATTTTAAAAAATAAATAACATATAACCCTAATATATAATGTGTATATTATTATTATTATTATTATTATTATTGAAACTAAAAAAATATATGGTGGATGAATGTGCATGGTTGCAATAGTGGAAAAGATAACGAAAATTATAACGGTAGTTGTATATTTGTCCAAAATATTATATAGTACAACATTTATAATATAATGTATCATAAAACTTAACGGAAAAACAGAACATAAATGAAACCTTCATCAACACTTATTATGTTTATATATATATATATATATATATATATATATATATATATATATATATTGTAATGGCAGTTGTGTTAGCATTTCATTCCAAATGTCCAAATGGATGATTTGGAGCATTGATTCTTTCTTCAATTTCTTCCGACAATCATGGGAATTGAAATTTTATTAAATTAATCCCATCATCAACCGACTAACTAGGGCTCTTTGTCGCTGCTATCAACTGTGTTAGGACTTAGGAGTTAGGAGTAGAGCTGTTGAAATATTTATGGGAGATTAGGGTGGTGAATCCACTATTGCCATTGTGCGTCACTGTCAAAGGACCGGACGGAGCAGATATAAGCTGACAAATCCTGGGATTCGGAAAAATCATCTTCAGTTCTGCGTAGTAGGGAAAATTGGAAATGGATAAGGTTCTCACAGTGGGCGAGAATGTCGACAAGTTCATGCCGCCGCCGCTGCCGCTGCCGCCGGACAAGATGATGATGAGCCGTAGCCCCTCCGAGTATGCCTTCCAGCGCTTCCTCCAGGAAGCCACCGCCTCCGTTGATCACACTTTGTCTTCTTCACCTCCTGCTTCTTGTTCTTCTACTTCTGCTCCTGCTGCCTCTGGTCGGCAGCGGTTGCCACAGAACGACGTCGTCGAGATTTCGGATCGGAATCTCGGAGCTGATCGGGATGTGAACTTCGGTCACGAGAGCTCCGGGGCAGAGTCGGCGACGGAAACCGCGAAGACGACGTCGTTGGGTGCGGGACCTGCCGCTAACGTTCCCATTGGTTCAGAGGACTATCAGACATTCCTCAAAAGTCGTCTCTATTTAGCCTGCGCCGCCGTAGCTTTCTCGCGTGTAAGTGTCTCAAAGCAATTTTTTTTTTTTTTTTTTTTTTTTTTTTTTTTTTTTTTTTTTTCACTTTTTTCTTTTGAGATCCCGAAATTTCTCCTTATTTGGCGCATGAAATAAAAAAAAAAAAAATCTAATGAAATTCAGATTTTTATGAACTTCATTATTCTTGCTTTGCTACTCCTTGAGTTTTTGAGAAATCATGATTTGATGTTGAATGTGTCTCAACGAATCCAATATATGGCTCACTGAACTGTTTAAGGGTGCCATAGGGAGAGCGGTTGGTTAGTTCACTGCTGCTTCCATCGGTTCCATCGGATCCTTACCCGCACCAACCTTAGCATTGTCAAATGGGTGCTTGGAAAGCTTGTAACAATCTTGGATCATTGGATTGTTACTCTAGCAAATAAGAGAAATAGGGTTAAGAGAAATTCAGAGAAGAGAGGGAAGAAATGGAGAGAAAAGGAACAAGTTTATGCATCATAACTGCCATATATGATATATCCGTATATCCCTTGGAGGCTAACCCAACTACTTATATATGCAATTAGTTGGGAAGTTACAACATATTTTCAATAAAATAAAAGCTAACAAATCTGCCAGCTTCGGTACTTCTTCAGCTGAGCTAAATGTCATTTTTGTAATTCAACTGAACTTCCCTAGGCTCTTAAACAGATGATGGTTCATTTCAAATGGCATCTTCTATTCAAATTTCAAAACGACAATGTTTTCTTCCCTTTATTCCAAAATGGTGTCATACACCTTTTATTGAGTCCACTTTAGCCGCCACTTTATTTATTCAGTTCATCTTTATCTTCTTGTTGAGCTCCTGACATGGCCGAAGTGGTGAGTCACTTTAACCGCTCTTCCAAATGCAGCCTAAGTCTCAGATCAAATGGAAAAGTACCGGTCTTTGGAAAACTCTGTTTATTTGTTTTCTATCTTATTCTATGTATCAGGGAAATTGCATGGATCCTCAAGATTCAGCCACCATGTTGCCTGACAAAGGATTAGAGGCATCCATTTCCAACCCAGGATCTGTGGTCCCTCCTAAAGGTTAGTGGTGCTTCTATAGATGTTGTATATATTAATTGCCATGTATCTGTCATAATTGCTGGAAATTGAGTAGATTGTTGCACAGGATGTTACGGTTACTTGCTTTATGTTTAAATTTCTGCTATTATCAAAGTATAAGGAATACTTTGTTCATAGTTTTCCTTTTGACAGCAGTAGCGCCTTAATATTTCCCTCTATGAGCTTATGTTCTCTGGGTTGTTTTGAGAGCAAAACATTTGTTTATTTATTTATTTTTTCCTTTGGTTCTGCAAAATATTTACAGAAAACTGAGAGGAATAGAGTTAAAAAATTCAGAGAAACAGGGAATGTTGAAGACATAAACATAAAATAGGGAGGAATATAGGAAGTTGTAGGTCAAGGTTGGTGTTACAATCATCATTCTTTTTGCAGAGAATTCTTTTGGCTATAAAGTCCATTATCTATGCCCCCATCCTGTCAAAAATGCATGGCTGTCGGTGGTTACAAAGTCCAATTCCAGTGCCTAACTCTGCAACAGAAAGGCGTCTTAGTTACAAAGTCTAGAAACAAGCCAATAGTAGAAAATTTTAATTGGTTCTAGTGTTCTACAAATTTAGAATCAATTTAAAGGTTTACTAGTTTTAAACAAAATTATGCCACTTCCATATGGCCTAGCATGAAACAAATTTGCTCAACTAGTTTTGCTTAGTAGTAGCACCTTGTATTTCCCTCTATGAACTTATGTTCTCTAGGTTGTCTTGAGAGCTAAACATTTTTAAAAAATAAGTTTTTAGTTTCATTTTTAAAATTTTGTTTATTTTTTTTCTTTTGGTTCTGCAAAATATCTTAGAGAAAAATGTGAAGCAGTGCCCATGAACGAATTGGGGCATAATGCATTTGGGTCAAACCAATACCAAAAGGTTAAATCTAATCAATTAGTTAGTTGAATCCATAATATTATAAACCCATATCTTTTTCTCTAATGATATTAGACTTTTTGCAGGCATCAAGACTCATCTAGCCCTTTCAATATTCCATTTTGTGTTGACCTCTTTGTATTTCTTTAATGATATTGAAAGGCTTGCAATTAATGAAATGCTGCAATAAATAAATTTCTGCATTAGAAATAATTGGACTCTTTTCTACCGGACTTAGCCTTGTCAATTTTAATTGCCCTTCTTTAAGCATGTCATTCCTGTCTAGAAAGGCTCTTGAAGATATGTTTTACTAGGTAGAGGCACAGAAATGTAAGCTTACTGTTTATTGGTTGATAATAATTGATTTAAGGACTTATTCTGCTGGGTTAATTGACCTTTTGTGAAACATATCTTCTCTATGGTGATCTGTTTTTTACCAACCAGCTGAAATCTATTATCATGTCTTCACAAAAAAGAATGAAATTTGTCATTCAGTTTTAGTTCTGGTCCTAATTTCATAGTCTTTCAGCATTTTATTCACATCAGTTTTAGCAAACAGTATATATCATTAAGTAGCTTGTGGTTGAAACATATCCTATTGCCAGAGCCAAAGAGGGTTTCCTGCTTTGATAAATTATTATGGAAATTATTCAGCGTACTTTTACCATGTAGGATCTGGGAATGATTTTCCCAAGGGGGATGCTGAAGGGCCTGCTGGAACATCTACCTTACCTGCAGTGCAGAAGAAATCTAGTGCCAGGGCACAGTCAGCAAGTGGCTCAGAACCGTCTGATGATGATGAAGCTGAAGGGGAAGCAGAAACAACTCACCGAACTGATGCAAAACGTGTAAGGAGGTTAGAATTTTTATCACACTTGTAGATACTCAATTTATTTGTTAAGACAAGCAACAGAAGGAATATAGATGATTAAGCAGTCATATTCAATCTATAGAGAATGAGCACACATCTGATTAATGGTTAGGAGACAAATTTTGGAATGGATATATCTTGGTGCTCAGACCATTTCATGCATGATGCAGTTGTTAATCTTTATCAATAAACTGTATACTTCTACTTTTGTTGTGAGCTTTCTCATAAAAGATATTAAGTTATCTAGTCTGATTGATCAATTACATGAGTTACCTTCTGTAAATATGCATTTGGTATGTCAAAATTAAACCATATTTTATTATTAATATAAATATAAATGTAAATATGCTTTCTGTAGAAGAAAAGACTATTGTATTGACAGTGATGCATCTTAGTCTCATTGTTCTGAACTGCGGTCCCTACAATGGGCCTTTGCTGCAAGTGAACAATGACCTTTGCTGCAAGTTTAGAACAATGGCCTTTGCTGCAAGGTCTCAAAGAGGATAGCATTTTCCCATCTCAGATAAGAGTATAAATAGCAGCTGTATCTGGATGCTGCAAGTTCCATTTTCGATTTACTTCCAACAGATTAATGGAGGTCACAAAATGAAAAGCAAAATTTGATATGGGATGGTTTATTTGTTGATGATTTTTAATTTATTGCACTTAGATTCCAGGAAGAAAAATAATCTGCTGTTATGCATTACAGTATGAGATGTTTAAATCTGTGTACCTTCACTTAATCAGCAAGCTTTTGTATCCAATTAGGTGGCGTTGTTGATATCATCATTTTAAATTCTAAAGGTTAAGGTTGTTATTGATGTGCTAGTTCATCAGAATCTTGCTCCAATTTATGAATATTTTATATTAACCAGGATGCTATCTAATAGAGAATCAGCTAGACGTTCTAGAAGAAGAAAGCAGGTCCATCTGACGGACTTGGAGACACAGGTATATTCTCTTTCGTAATTTGTGTTGCTTTTACTTAGTTGATGCTCTTTGACTAGTTTAACTGAAGTGTTTACTCATTGTTTTCCCTAGGTTTCTCAATTGAAAGTTGAAAACTCCTCTTTATTGAAGCGTTGGACTGAAGTAAGCCAAAAACATAACGACGCAGCAGTTGACAATAGAATCTTGAAAGCGGATGTTGAGACACTAAGAGCAAAGGTAATAACATGTTCAGTGTGTGAATATTGAAAGTTTGGTGTTTGTTTGTAATTCTCCTAACTTCCTCCTAATAGCTCTAGCTCTCTTTCTTATGAGTGATATTTTCCATTTTTATTTTGTTGACCTTCATTGCTGCTAAATGCATAATTATATTTATTTAGTTAGAGCATTAGTATTTGTATTTTGAAATTTTAAAATCCTTGCATGCTCATTTTGTTTAACTCCTGGAACAAATTTCCTTCTTGAATCACACCCCACCTTAGTTATGTTGGACACACTGATGAAAGTTAGGATTACTACCATTCTCAAACTATACCATCGATCATGCCTCACCTTAGTTTGCTTCTTGAACACCTTAGTTTGGTTCTTGAACTACTCATGATGTGCCATGTTTCCATTTCTTAATTAGAGTAGGGAAGTTATCTCTAGATAATGTCGTTGAAGTTTGTTATGCAAGAGGTAAATCTAGCAGTTTTGTGTTGGGGCTCACGATAGTACCCGTGGACTAACATTGACTTTAAGTGGAAAATGCAGCTTCCGAAGATCTAAGGGTGTGGCCTATTGTGTTCTAATAGATCTTGTCCTTGTGTGTGAGTGCACATACTAGATAAACCAAAGTGGTAGACCAAGAAACGAGGAAATTTTGACCTCTGCTTTACTCTTCATCTGCGTTTAGAATGTAGACCAATAATGTTTTTTATGCAGTAACCTTATTTAGTATGAAAAGGAGGTACTTATCTTTAATTCTCATTTCTCCGGTCGCTGATTATTTCTACCATCTCAGAACTAAATATCACTGTTGCAAAAATTGACCTAGGCGGCCGCCTAGGCGCCCCTAGGCCGAAGGGATGTTACCCTTAGGCGGACCCCGATTAGGCCCTGAGTCGGCTAACTAGGTGCCCAAGTCGGCCAACTCGGCCAAGTGTTTGTTTTTGGTGTGCTGTTTTTCTTATTATTATTGCTCATCAACCTAGGTGCTTTAGGTGCTAGGAGTCCCCAGGTGACCAACTAGTGCCTAGCGCTTTCTGCAACATTGCTAAATATATAGTCTTCTTCTTGCAGGTGAAGATGGCTGAGGAAACAGTTAAAAGAATTACTGGGATGCATTCACTATTCCAAACTATGCCCGAGATACCCACATTGAGCATACCATCCTTCGTTGATAGCCATTCCGACACATCAGCCGATGCTACTGTACCGCTGCAAGAAGATGCTGATAACCACTACTACCAATCCCTTTGCCATGATTCTAGTATCCAGAATGGCTTGCTGGACATCCCTCCGGTTGATAACGCACGACAGGATTCTGCTGCAACAGCAGGGGTGAACAATATCGGAGGGATGGCTTCAATGCTGAGAGTGGCCAGCTTGGAAAACCTGCAGAATCGCATCCGCAGAGAAGCAGGAGGTTCATGTAGAACTCAGTGCAGGATAAGCAAATGATGTGCATAAAGGGACCTAATATAAATCTAAACTTTGTGCTAAATCCACCAAAAAACTATTTTGTGCCATGGTTCATGCTAGAAAATGGTTTTGTTTTCAGTGATGGAATGATTCATTTTGCGTGAATTCACTTGGATAATGTTCCTATTCAATAAATTGAATGTTCACATCTTACGAGTCATTACATCATGTCAGTTCATAGTTGGACTTGATATGAAATTACAATTGTACTAAAGGATAGTGATTTTTTAAAATTTAAGAAACGAGTCCTTGGGCTATCTATATGTCTAAAATATTCTCACTTTTAATAGTGGATATTACCTATACATCAACAAATTTACAATTTATTTTTTTTTTAAAATTATTTTGTCTACATTGTAATATTCTCTCATTTTTAAAAATAGTCTTACTTTCATATCATAATAATAAATTAATATATTTTTTCAATATATGAATTATGTTCAAATGCGGCTGCAGTCGTGCGGACATGCTAGAGTTATTGGATGAGATTAGATCAAAAAGATGAAAAGAAATGATATGAGAAAAAATGTGGGGGTAATTTTGTAATTTGATAATGTATGTTTTGTGGTCCATTAAGTGCTATTGAGTAGTACTTATGATGCTCCGTGTGCTCTGTGTGCATTACTTGATGCTCTGTGGTGCACCACCAGGTGGTTGAAATCAAAAGGAAAAAATGCGGTGATATTTTTGTAATTTTGTGCGTAATGTATATTTCGGTGGTGCACTAAATACTGATGTGTAATGCATTTATGAGTGATCTGTGATCACTTATGAGTGATTTGTGGTGCACTGCAAAAAAGAAAAAAAAAAAACAAGGTGGGTTCAATAGACCCGTTGACTGGTGCAATACTAAATGCATCACAAATCACTCAAAAGCGCAACACAGAGCACTCATTAGTGCACAACATACTAGCACTTAGTGCACCACAAAATTACACTTGGTATACTTCGGTAGTGTACTAAGTATTGGTGTGTGGTGCACTTATGAGTGAATTGTGGTATGCCACCAAAAAGGAAAAAAACGCGGTGGGTTCAATAGATCCATTGGATGGTAGAATATTAAGTGCACCACATACAAGTCTGGCTCTATCATTTTATAAGTCCGGGCCGGGGCGTAACAACAAAAATGGGCAATATATGAAATTAATGGGTCGTTATATCATGGACCGTGGTGCATAATCTGCGCAGTGTTAACGGAGTGATACTACAGTGTATCTAAACCGACACGGCCTCACGTATTATTTTTATATTATCAAATGAAACTGCAGTTATATTAAAATGATACTGTAGTTGTGGTGAAATGAAACTGCAGTATATATAAAATGAAACTGAATAACATTTCACATATTTGAGTGTATATTGTACAATGAAGCTGTAATTATATCGAAATGGTCATGTAGTTGTGTTTTAATGAAACTATAGTGTATATAAAATAAAATTAAATAACATTTTCACATATTTGAGTGTATAAATATTGAATGAAACTGTAGTTATATCGAAATGAAACTGTAGTTGTGTTGAACTGAAACTGTAGTGTATACAAAAAGAAACTGAAGAACAGAGATACTTTTTTGATGCGCGATGCATAATCGATTATGCACCGCGGTGCACGATATAATTTGCCGAAATTAATATATATTTTCATAACTAAAATATAAATTAAATAAAAAAAATACTAATATCAAATAACTTGAAATAAGATTTACAAATTTTTAACATTTTTGCGTACACAATAATATTAATGAAAACAACTATAGACTCTTTACTAAATGTAAAATAATTAATAACTACAGCTATCGGTGCCTTCATAAATAAAGAATTATAGTTTATAAAAATTAATAAATAATTTAAAACCAAATAAACTTATCGATAATCACATTGTTATTATAGTAAATAATAAAGTAATTATTAATAAAAATTTATAAAATAAAACTTACAAATAAGAGCATAACATGACATCTTAATTTTTGGGAGGAATAAATAAAACACATTAAAACATGATAAATGATATTCATAACTAAATATGAAACATAATTAATTGGATAAAATGGTTCAAATGAAAAACACACTGGGGGTGTTTGGTAAATAGCTGATAGCTGTTATTGATTAGCTTAATATGTTTGACTAGTTGATATCATTAACTGATTGTAGAAAAGTGTTTGGTAAATTAGATGTTAGCTGATTACATGCAAAATGACTTTCTCAAAAAGCTAATCCAAAAAGCTACTTTGAGCAGCTTTTTGAATTTTAGTATTTTTGGAGCAATAAGTTATTACAAAAAGCTAATTAATCAAATACTCATATGCCAAACACCTTGTGCTCAGATGGCATGTGTTGCTTTTCACAGCCTCGACGGCCGCCCGGCAGGCCAACACTACCGGATAATTGTTATTGTCTAGCTAATGAAAAAAAGGGGTAAAGATATTAAAAAGAGAGAGAATAATGAGGTGTTATTTCTCTAGGGTTTTGGCCCCTTCAAGATGCCCATCCCTTCAAGATGCCGATCTCTTCAATATGCCCATTCGTTACATGATGATCCCAGGGGGATATTTATACATAGATGTAGGGTTTATACATGGTAAGTAGGGCTGGCGTTCAACCAAGCCTAAGAGGGGGTAGGGCTGACGTAAGGGCTGATGTAGCCGTCAACTTACTACCTTTCCCGTCTGAGTTAACTAAGGAAACTACCTAATGAGCAAAGATTGCTTCCGTAGAATCCGCTGGTACGCGTCTCTGGGTGTGTACCCGGTCAAGAATGATCCCGACTGCGCAGGGGCGTCCTCCTGGGTCCTTGCCTCTAGGTAATGGCATCCTGTCCGTAAAGCCTGGTCGCCCGGCCGGGTCCCGGTAAGGCATACGACCAGGGACAGACTGCCCGTGTGGCCTGGTCGCCTGTCCAAACCCCATAGGTATTCAGCCGGGGACACGCCGACTGCCGTAACTGGTCGCCCAACCGTATTACATCCGAGAGCCTGCCCGAGGACGCGCCGGCTGGCGGACTGGCCGCTAAGGAGGTGAGTCGCTGCCACCGTGGCTGGGGGGGTCCTTGGCGATCCTCCCCCTATCAAGTAGTGAGCCATCGCTTGGTCTGGCTGCCTTGTCTGACCTCTCATCCAGGCGGCTAATTTGGGGTATTTATCACTAGTCCCTCACTTTTTTTGGTTTTAGCTGAACCGTTAACCTGAAAAAGTAAAGAAAAGAACACAAGTTCCCCAAAGCGGGTTCCCGGCTGGTCCTGCTCCGACTGGTCCCGCTGTCCCCAACTGGTTCTAGGGAGCGGTACAGTCGCTGTAGGCGTAATCATGACTATTCCCATTAATTCCGTCGGTTAAGCTTTCAAAACGTGTCTCTTCGTAACCGTCACCTCAAATGTAACTTCAGCGAGCCCCCCGTCCGTCCAATATGAGACACGTGTCACGATCTCGTTGCCCGTCCAACCTTATAAATACCCTTCTTCCTCCATACGTCGTCCTCTTCACGCTCCCTAGTGTCTCCCCGGCCTTACACGTTCTTTTCTCAGGCTCAACCTTCGGCGGCCGGCACCCTCAGTCTTCGCCCTTCCGTTCTCCGGCCGTCGTCTTCTTTCAGGTTAGCCTTCCATTCCCTTCTTTTCTGGTACTTCTTCAAGTCCCTTTGCCATGTCGGCGTCTTCTTCTTCTTCTTCTTCTTCTTCTTCTTCTTCTTCTTCTTCTTCTTCTTCTTCGTTGTCTTCCTCATTTGCTTCCGATGAAAGCACTCGTCAAGGCTAGACCGTCAACCCTCCAGCTACTACTTTCGCTCCGGCAGGAGTCGGGGGATGATCTTCAGTGGCCGTGGTCAACCCTCCAATCGACCGGGAATCGGGTGCATTCGAGGACCTGGGCTGGCCGGCTGGTCGACGGTCCTCTCTACGGGAGGTGGATTTCTTACACGCCTGCTGGTTGTTGGGCACGGCATCGGTGACTCGCAGCCCGGGTGATCAGCTGATAAGTGATCCCCCCGGCGGCGGGTATGTGGGTGTCCACTATCAGTTTGTCCGCTGCGGCTTCCGTGTACCCCTCTCGCCCTTCTTGGTCCTCCTTCTCCAATATTATGGGATAGTGCCTGGTCAGTTGACGCCCAACTCCTACTGCCTGCTGACGACTTTCCTCACTTACAGCCATGGCCTTAGGGTAGAGGCTACCCTGCCCCTATTCCAGCAGCTTTTCCGGCTTACGCCGGTAGGCCAAGTTTCCCCGGGCATTGTGCAAATTCGCACCCAGGACGGCCGCAAGTTCCTGGACAAGTTGATTTCCTCCCACAAGGGTTGGAAAGAGGTGTTCTTCTTCGTCCGTCCGGCTGACTATCTTCCGGCCTTCGATTATCCTCTTTCATGGCAGTCGTCTTACTTTCGCCTTGACGGGCGGCCAACTTGCCTCGACAACCTGGTCGGTCTGGTCCAATGGATTACCGGGGGCGAGATGGTCTCTGCTCGACGCTGGTCACGGCTGGCGGCCATGTCGAAGGCCGGTATTTTGCCAGACGACGCTCCTCTGATAGGTTTGTCCCCTTTGACTCATGGTGTACAACGTTTTTACTCGGCGGGGCGCCCAACCTAACTTTTGCATCCCGATTTTTGCAGGGAACAACGACACGGACCAGTCGTCCGAGGAAGAGGAGGAATAAGGAGAGGAGGTCCAGGTTGTCGACCCAGTGGCCGTCGCAGCACCCCAGGATGCCATGGCTGATCGTCGCTCCATCTTGCGGGCCTCCGCCCGGGCCAGGCTAACAGCCGCCGAGAAGGGCAAGACCCCGGCCGGTCAGGCAGATCTCGTCCAACCGTTGGCTGTGCGAAGCCCGGGAACCTTAGTGATAGGGGGTTCCCTCTTTCGCCGCAGCTCGGTCCGCCGTAGATACCAGGCGGAGGAGGTCTACCACCCTGGTTACCAGTGCTGCATCTCCCACTCCCCGGGCTGGTGTCAAACGGCCCGGCGAGACCCACGTAGAGGCCCCGGCCGCGAAGAGGATCCTAGTTGGCCCCGAGGCCAATGAGACAGAGGGCATCCACAAGGGGCACTATCCAGTCGGCGAGTGGCTTGACAAGGTGATCTTCCCCAAGGACCTTGAGTCCGTTGAAGGGGGAGATCCCGACTTGCTGCTGGATGGCATCGCCCACCGCAGCTACCAGGTATACTTATCT